AGTGCCTTGATGAAGTCAGCTTCAAAACAGAGAAAGCTATTCAATCTAGTTTCAAAAGGCCTCACAGTCACTGTTCTTAACTACAAAGTAATCACTAAGAGAGATGAGAAGAGTGGACTATAAACTATTTCTCCAGGCCCTGAGAGCTCTCAGTCAAAAAGCAGAGGGGATCAGAGTGTAGTTCCTAAACAAACTCATTCAGTCAACTGTGCTAGGAAATAATGCACACTTCTCCGACTGAGGCCAGGACTTTAGGCTTGTGTGCTGCAAGATTTGCACCCAAAGAATTAGACCAGTGAAAAAGCGTAAAAATCAGACAATCATGGAAGACTTGCGGTTCTGGTTCTGCTTCTCACTTACCTCTTAAAATAGAAAGGCCACACAAGGTCAGGGTAGTTAAGCAGCACGGAAAAATAACATCTATACTAATAAGCAATGAAACATGGCTCCACGCACTTGACAAGGGCAATAAGCAATAAAAACAGACCTGTGAATGTCAGCCAGTAATGATGAACTTTAGAGAAAATAAGCAAAAAGGAAGTTTGGGAGATAATTAAGAGAATTAAAGATGCCTTGCGTCTTAGCAGTCAGTGCTAGAAATAATCGTAATGGGCTTTTCCAGTGTATTTACAGTGGGGAGTATGCAGAAAGTGATGATGCAACCAAATCAAAATGTGCTTCAGGAAAGGAGTGAAATTTATGACACTCAGTCGTTTTTTGTACAGTTAGCTCTCAGAAGTCCGTAAATCATCAATCACCTAATTAAGACTTTCTTTTAAAAGATGATAACCAGATCTTCAATGTGTGCACCTCACTGTCAAAGCTAATCACAAATGATAAGACTCACTTTCTGTGCTGGTTAGTTGGTAGAGTCAAATCAGCTGTAAAACAACCGAAGTGCGTGCATTCATTAGGAGAGCGGAATAGCGATGAACCAAATATCCTCAACCTGAATAACATCCTTGCAATGCAAAAGCAAACATGGTGTAATTTGACCGAATATTGATTAAAGCTCTAAGGGTAATATAGCATGATGGGTAAGCACTCAGGCTCAGGAATCAGACCGTGTGGGGTTGAAATCCCAGTTCCACCATTTGATAGATGTCTGACCTTCAGCAATTACTAAACCCCTTTAAAACTTAGTGCTTTCATCTGTAAAATGGGGATAATGGTCATGTATGTCTCATATAGTTGTAAGACTTTAAGAAACTGCATGCTAAGTGGTGAGTATAGTGCTGGCACATATGATGGCTATTGTTGAAACAGTTTAAATAATTGTAAAAATGAAAGAGAAACATGATTTCATACAATGATATAAAGAAGACATTAAGCAGCTTACAAACAGGAATGGAGATTTCTTCAGGGGGAAATAGGCATATTTAAGGAAGAAAAGTTTAATACTGACAACTTACTGTGCCTAGCTTCTGTATTAAACAGACAGACTTTTGTAGCTTCTCAGATGATAGTTTTTACAGCTCTTTGATGGAAGGGGGAGGTAAGATTAGGGAACCCTAGGAGGTAAGTGGCTTCAAATAACTGTGAAGGTTTTTAGGCATTTTGAAAGAAAGTTTTGGGTATTAACACTCTGGTATTTTCTCAGGAGACATACTTATAAGCATTTATTGACAAAAGATGAAAAAAAATTATTTTTTAATGAGGAAATCCTTGTTTGAATCATTTGGTGAGATGAATTTATACACATTTTTGATAACAGTAATCATTGAAATATAGTAGTCTTTGAAAATTAAAATCCTTTAAGCTAAAATTACAAAGGAAAAATTATGACATTTCCATGTTCTCATGTAACTTTTCTTGATGATATATCAGAATTATAATATTATTTTAAATGTTCCTATTTCCAGATTAATTTTAAAAGAAAGGAATACTGTATTTTTTAAAACCCATGTCACTGCAGTAATTATAGCCTAGGTTTACCAACAAACACAACTCACAGGGTGACTTATTGACAGTATACAGGTATACTAGGAATAAAGGATTTACTTTCTTGATAGAAGGCTGTCTCCAGGCCTCCAGATAAAAAAGCATGAAACTGAAATTTCAAAGAACTTTCCAGTTGAAGGTGATTCAGAGATTTCCTTTGTATAATGGATTAAATGGCCTTTCAAGCTGAAATTAAATACCTGTGTCCTGTTTCCCCACCTTCCCATCAAAATGGTCTCAACAATCATTCTAGGTCTAACAGCTTTTAATAATCAACATCCACTTTGTAGCACGTCTTCATGGGAAGTGGCATTTTTGCTTTACCTATTTCAATTTGGTCCCATTGATGAATTTTTCAAGAATATATAGGAGCTTGTTCAATTACAATTGAAGGACTGTGCCGAGAGGGAAGAATCGGTTTCCCGTTCTAGCCCTCTTTTCTCTCCCTTTAGGAAGGCTCATTAACCACCCAGGTGACTTGGTTTTCTAATGTGTGAAATGGAATGATCCTGACACAAAAAGAGGATTTATATGTGAGAACATGTTGTAGGTTAAAAGTGCTCTGAAAATAAGAGGTAGCATTGTTAGAAGAACTTCTCAGCCCTGATTAAAATATGGACAGGAACAGAGTGGTAG